GTGTTTTTTTAAGCATTTAAATTTTCATTAAAACCACGAAAAATATATACTTGCCTTAAATAAACACTTTTCTCAAGAATTTATTAAAATGTCACTTATGCAGCTTATGCTTTCTCACTCATTCAATTTTATTAAATTTCACATTCAATTCATGCATCAAGACATTTCACTTGTCATCCTCAAGCAATGAATCTAAACAAAAATAAGACACTCTTCTCATGAACATCTAATTCTGTCATTTCTTCACTTAGAAGATGACATCCGCCGAAACCAATTACGCCCCAGCGCGAACAAAGCGCTTCGGTAGCGGAGCGGTGAGTGAGTGATAATCGCCGGGTAGCGCGTGTGACTGCAGCGGAGAGCGACCGTTGCGGGGAGGGGGTGTCCCCAGGAAGCACAGAAGGCCGAACGGGCATTTCGTTTTGCCCCGTGCGCAGTCGATGGGCTCAACCAGGTGTAACCCATGCCACCGGTACGAGCGTCGACGGAGAGCGAGCGGAAATGCAAACGCGGCCGGCGCCAGAGCTTCAGCCGGGTCGAGTTCCGCCCAAGTCAGTAGCGCTGCCCAGAGCAGAGGACCACACAGCGGGGAAACGCAACGCAGCTAACTCCCGATTTAGACGGTGGCATTCAAATCACGAGCTGACGGAGTGCTGTCATCCCATCGGAGGCTTCGTCACGACTTAAAATTGTCTTTAGATTCAAGAATCCCAATAGTTCTGAACCGCACGAAACCAAAGTACAATGAAACGTTTTCAAATCAACGAATAAGCATTTCTAATCCTTCAATCTATTCAGACTTCGTTCCTAGTCTCGAATTTTCAGCCGTCACTCTACGTCTCCCGCCTCCAGATAATCAAACATTTCTCATGTTTTGTTAATTAATAATCTTATATATACTATTTAGTTAGTTAGCTATGTTTAGTTAGTTTATGTAAAAGGGAGAAAACTTAAGGTGGATAATTCAGATTTGTCGCCGTGTTTACAATGAGAGCATTTACATTTTTCATTTTTCTATCTTCCTGCCTGCAGAAGAAGCAAGGGAGAATAATGACTGGTTATTCGATTTTTTTCAAATATATATCCAATGAGTTAATTTATTTATTATGCTATTTCACCCCGGTATTCTTGTTTGTGTGTTTTTTCTTCATTTTTTTTTTTTTTTTTTTTTTTTTTTTTTTTTTTTTTTTTAATATTTCTTGAAGTTTCAAGTGAAAATGTATGGAGTTCATATGATAGAGCATATGAATAATTTTAAACTATATATATATAGTTTATTAAACTATCAGAAGCAAATTTAAAATACCAGAAAATTTACACAGTTTTTCCTATAATGCAACCCTTATTCATAATATGTTTCGCAGTTGTCAAAGTCTCAGGTAGATAAGGCTCTATTTTTAAACTCTTAGTAGGTACATTTATGGTAAACACATGCATAATACTGACAAACATCGTCGGTTACTTTTAGATTGCAAATCACTTCGTGATGAAGTCATCCAATATCTTTAGCACTCTAGTCCGACTTTCACAATTCTGAAATAAAACAATAATTTTGTCACCTCATTGTTTCATAGCAAATGGGATATAAAATAGGACCATTTTGGATTTTATCGAAGCAAATCAACAACAAAGAAAGGAAAAGCAACTGAATACAATAAACATGAATATAACCGAGTATACGATATTTTTGTCATGTATTTATGCTAAAAATTGTTTAAAAGAGTTATTATTGTAAAACACTTTTACATAACAAAGATTAACACACATAAACCACGAACTCCAATTGATTTGGAAATAAATGCTCATTTTCTATGTTTAAATAACGTAAATTAAATTAAACAATTTCCATTGTTTCTGTTTTTACTCGCTATAGAATAAACTGTTAATTGCGAATGAGAGTTAATTTTAGACTACCAGAGTTTTACGTCCTAGTAATTTTGAACTCAGCCTCAAGTTCTATTCATTTGAAAAGGCTCAATGAAGATTAAAGGACCCTCTTTCGAAACCTTCCTTACAACACGGCCTTGTTTCGTGAAAATGACCGCCGCGCATGAACACGTATTGAAATCTTAAAAATATCCGATTTTTTAAAATTAAAGTTTATGCAAAAATCAATGGAAAGTTTCATTAACGAATCTCCACTTCAATACAAATAAAAACAAGTGATTCCGTGATACGAGCATTAATTAATTAATAGTATTATGTTTCGCTTATTGCGATAGATTTATTAGAACGATTCTTTAGGAGTTCGAAAAGGTACATACAAGAGCAGACTTTTATTCAGTGATTCCGTGGTCTCTCTTCACAAAATTTCCAAATATTTTCAGACTTCCGTTTAAAATAAAGCGTGTGTTTATAATTAGACCCCAAAATAGTTCACGTGGGAAAACGTATTAAAATTAAAGAGATATTTTATTTAGTTTTTTGGCAATCCAATCCTTTTCCTCATTCATTTTCATCAAATCCTGCCCTAAATCAGGAGATTTGATAAAATTAGTTTGACACCAAAAAGAAATACGGGCGCTGAAACTGTAGTACACGAAAAGACTAAATTATCAAGCTACAAAATTTTTTACCTTCAATACACATACTTCGAAAACACCATTAGATAGTAAAACATAACTTACAAAATTATTAATTACTTTTATATTATTATTGATTATTATTATAAGATCATTAATATTATTTATGTTTACATCTTTATTCGAAGGTGTATTGAATTCGCGTTTTTACTTTCTTCGCTTAAAAGTTACTTAAGCAATGTTTTGGATGCGAAAAAAACGGCAATTTCACAGAAAACTTTCTGGGGCTGGTAGACCGGAATAAAGTGGAGTAGAGAGATACATTTTTAAAATTTAGGGTAATTCCATCCAACACTGGGGTGTATCCGGAATCCATGGTTTCTGTTCGTTGATACCGGAAACATCGAATGACTAGCATAACGTCTGCCCTTACGATATTTCCCGCTTAATGAAATCTGTTCCTTAAAGTGGAAGTTTTGAAGACCATGATCAATTTTTGAACCTTCAAGTACTTTTCCCAATTTTGCGTGAAAATATGGACGATTAAAGTTACTGCTGTTTAGCCACTTTCTTAGTTATAATATTGTTTATTTATAACTTGGTAGTATTAGTTTAATTATTATTAGTATAGTTATGATTTTGAGTTATAGCATGTTATTAAACTGACGCGTGTCCTTTTTCGCATTTGCTTTAAGTTTAATGCAGCCCGGGTGGAGTCGGCGAGGCGCACACGTCCTCGTTCTCCAGGCGTGACCCGCGGCCGACTCTCTGAGCAACCCCACACCTGACATCTGCATTTCAAAATGCGCCCCCCGTCTCGCCCCGTACCAGACGTCGCCCCGACGCGCCCCGGTTTTGTTTCAAGACGTGAAGGCGTCGTTACATTTTTTTTTCTTTTTAATTTCTCGTCGTTTAATTTCAGTTCGCGGGGAGGATACTCGGTACCCGAGAGATTATTTTTTGTTTCGTACTTGTATTTACGTGTGCCACCATCTCCGCCAGGCGAGTGGAGCGACCCGCCGAAATTAGTTTGGTGTTATGGGTACATTAAAGGGGCTTCCCTGTAGTCGGTGTAACCTTGCGGAATCGAGATGTCTTCTCCGTAAATAATC